CATTTTCCATCACAAGTCGAACAAGATATTCTGGAATGAGTTGTCGACGTAGACTCCACCTGATTGCTTCACGGGTAACTCGATCAAATGCTTTTTCAAGATCTTCAAAAATGTGTGATAGTTGTTGATGCTTTGCGAGGTACTTTTCTTGCAGTTGCCGAAGGATGTGAATTGCATCAATTGTTGATTTCTCCGCTAGGAAACCAAATTGATAATTTCCGATTGTGATGCACGACGTTAATCTTCTCTCAATGATTTTCTCGACAATTTTCAGGGAGTGTTCTAACAGACGTATACCCCGATATGATGAACAGTTCAATGGATCACCTTTGCCTTTGTATAGCGGGACTGTCATGCTATAGTTCCATTCAGTCGGCATTGAGCAATTTCTCCAGATTTCACGGCAAAGTTGTAGTAACGTTTGGATACCTGCAGTACCAGATGCTTTGATAATGTCATTTGTGAGTCCAGAGGGCCCTGCTGCCTTTCCATCCTTTATAGCTTTCAGAGTTTCTGTAAGCTCCTCTACAGTTATGTCTGAAATCGGACCTTCGATGGGTGGAGCGTCAAAGTTTACATTGATGGGATTTGTTTCGTTTAACAGATGGTTGAAGTATTCTCTCCAATGTAGCTTGATCTCATCTTGTCCAAGAACCATCTCGTTTTTGTCGTTTTTGATACATGAGGCACCAACTATGTCTTTTTTCGTACGCTTTGCTTGTTTTGCTATACCATACAGAGATTTCATTTGTTCACATTTGCTTTTAGTGAGCCACTCTCTGCACTGATCTGTCCGAGCCAGTGCAACTTGACGTCTTGCATAGTTGTTCTTTTCACGGAAAATTTTGTGGTCATCAACAGACTTTAATTTTTGTCATTGCTTTTATGCAACTTTCTTTTCAGCTATCGCCTTTAGTACAATGTCATTCCATCACCAAGTGTCCCGTTCATGCTAACATTTTGTACCAGTTTTCCCACAAACTAGTTGCAGCGTTTATCAAAACGGTTTTGTATGTACTCCAATCTGTACTGGCTTGTGATTTGTGGTCTAACTGTGTTGCGACAATCTGTTGAAATTTTTCTCGATGAATATTTTTTTTCATCTTCCACGTTTTGATTCTCCGAGGCATTTGTTTAGACTTATGTTTTGACAGTTCGACAACCAGGTCTGCCACAAGAAGTCTATGTTGGGCGACACATGATTCGCCAGGTATAACTTTGACATTTTTGAATAGCCTTCGGTGTTGTTGCTTGACAGCGAAGAAATCAATTTGCGTGGCTGATGATCTACTTTTGTATGTTATGAGATGTTCCAACCTCTTTCTAAAATATGTGTTTAGTAAACAAAACCCGTGACTTTCAGCACACTCAAGGATGCGGTTGCCATCTTCATTCCGTTCTCCATAGCCAAAACCGCGATGTACGTTGTCAAAACCATCTGTTTTCTCTCCAACCTGGCCATTGAGATCGCCTCCAATCAGGATTGTTTCAGATTTTGGTTCAGTTGAGATGGTGTCAGAGAACGCAGCCCAGAAGTCATTTTTCATCTCTTCTGATTCGCCTGTCTGGGGTGCGTATGCAGAAATAATAATCATTGTTTGCTTTTCTAGGCGAAGCTTGATCCACACGAGACGTGAATTACTCCTTTTAATATTCAGTACTTCTTGGGCTAGCTGTTTTCTGACAAAAATTCCAACACCATTTTTGGCCGTGTTTTGACCATTCCAGAATTGTTTATATTTTTCTTTGTCTGAGTTGACATAACAAACACCGTTCGATTTCCATCGGGTCTCCTAGACTTCCAAGTTTAGTTTCTGTAGACCTTCTTCTAGTGAAGAAGGTCTACGGAAACTAATTGAACTAACACATTTTGGTGGAAAAGATCACGGGTTGCTTATCAACAAAGACAAAACGAAGGTGATGATTACGGGAAAAGGCAGAAACAATGCGGAATTTCAGATAGAATCAGAAAAACTCGAACAAGTAGACCGGTTTGTGTGTCTTGGCAGTCTTATAACCTGTGACAACAACTGCACAAAAGAAATTGACAGAAGGATTGCAATAGCCCATAGAATGTTCGCATCATTGAAGAAAATATGAAAAAGTAGAAATATATCTATAAAAACAAAGTTGAGAATGATAGAATCTTGTGTTTTTCCGAGCTTGCTCTATGTATGTGAGACATGGATAATAAAGAAAAGAGACAAAGACAGAGATTGGAAGCATTTGTGATGAAGTGTTACCGAAATTTGTTGGGAATCAGTTGGAGGCAGAAAGTAAAGAATGAAACCATCAGAAATCAACTTGGAAGACAGAAAAGTGTATATGACAAAGTCAGAGAAAGAAAATTGGGATTTTTTGGACACATTTGTAGAATGATAGAAGACCGATTGATTAAGATGGTACTAATGAGGAAAAGAGATTGGAAGAAAAAAATTGGTAGGCCTGCAAAGAAATGGATAGATGACATTACTGAATGGACTGGTGTTGGTATTCTGAATTCAATAAAACTGGCCAAATATAGAAAAGGTTTTTAGAAAGAAAAAAGGAAAAAAGCATGCTTAGATGTACACCATCGGCCTCGACAGTCCCTTGATGGACAAAGGAGGATCATATTGCTTGCTTGATTGATTGATTGATTGATTGATTGATTGATTGACTGATTGATTGATTGATTGATTGACTGATTGATTGATTGACTGATTGATTGATTGATTGATTGATTGATTGATTGATTGATTGATTGATTGATTGATTGATTGATTGATTGATTGATTGATTGATTGATTGATTGATTGATTGATTGATTGATTGGTTTGGCATCTTTTTGTTCAAGCTAACTAGCAATGGCATGAGTCATTATAAATATTTTTAACAAACACTTTGACACCAGCAGCATATTTTGATGCCAAAATATTTTAGACCTATTTTATATAAAATTCCATGACATTAGATTGTCTTCTAGTAGTAGATTGTATTCTAGTAGGTCAATTTCTTGAGAAATTACATGAAGAGGATGTTGGGAGTGTTATTTGATTTTGACAAAATTTAATCATATTAGCTTTGCATCATATGGGCATGGAGTTCTTTGAATTTCGGACAGACCATGTCATTGCATAATAGCTGCACGAGACATGGCACTCCTACAGACTGAGCTTATTCGGTGGCTATTTAATGATTTATTTAATGATTACAGACTCCTTTGTATCCAACTGTTGGCTTACAGACACCAGGAGAGATGGTGGAAGCAAATTTTGGACAGTTCCCCTTTGTTTTCAATTTTGAAGATTATCTCAGGGTTATTAGTGTTGTTGCGGATGAAGATATTTATGATGACGTCATTTGTTACTAGATATTTCATCCAGAAAATATTTTTTATATTGATTTAAATTTCATTGTGTCATCATGATTTTCATTAGTTATGAATTTACCACACAGGAGTGGAAGAAGAAAATGGCGTGTAGAGTGATAAATTTTGCAAGCACATCATACAAGGGTGATGTCCAAGCTGACCTGCAGAAGTTTGAATTTTTGCTTCATAGTTGTGTATGTATATGTGTATGTATGTATGTTAAAACCAAATCATAACAACACTAAACAGTCAAACATAAGATAACAAATGGATTAACACTTTGATATTTCGTTAGTCACACACGTCGGCATTTATTTGAATATTTTCCAATATACAGACACACAGGAACCGCTGCAACAGGCACCAAATGTTATTCGTTACAAAAACAGTTCTCTGCGGTCATCTGATCTAGCACTAATTATTTTGCATATTGTCTTTAGAAATTTAAAATGTTAGGGTCGATGGGGCCGAGAACCTCAATACATATCGGCAAAAATTCCAAGGAGGGGAGAGCGTTTTCTTATTTTACAATTTTCTCGTTCGCTGCCCTAGCTGCGGCCAAGCCACATTCTTTGCTTGTAAGATTCACATAGCGCTTCGCAAGGGTGCCATGGACCTAACCCAAACATTTACCTGCTCTCCAAGGGATTAGGGTACAACCATCCGGGCGCTTATCACCATGCGCTGAAATTTCAGATGGTTTCTTCAAAACCGGATTTGAAGCCTTGGAAGAGTCGGCATATGTAATCATTTAATTCTGAGTGGCGTAACTGACGGACGATAAACCAAACCGTGGTGGCCAAATTCGTCCGTCCCCGCGTCGCATCGACACGTATATTCATTTTGTATAACTAGGCTGAGTTTGTTTGTTTGTATGTATGTATATATGTATATAAGTATGTATGTATGTACATATATATATATATTTATATGATTTATGTGCTTGTTTGTTCGTTACGTTAGCACGTTGATTTTGGCTTTCCGAGTTATGAATTATCGTTTTCGTTGCAAATTATATATTTATTAATTGTTTTGTTATCTGTAATTCGATTTTCTTAAATTCATTTCTTTCTGTTTCTTAATTACAATTTTGTTTAATTCTTAATTACAAAGTTTGTTGATAATTTGTCTGTTTTGTAAGTGAAGTTACCTTGTTTTGGTTACTCCTATTGGGATTATTTATCGTTTCTGCTAACTATGGCTGATGGTAAAATGAAAACATCAAGAGGCAGTGTTTTAAAATCAGTTTGTTCAGATGATAAATGTTACCTATGCAATGCTAATTTCCTGGGTCTTAGAGGCGTTCCACGCCCTGTCATTGTTTAATTTGTCAACTTCGTTGTTAAAACGATGGCTATGTCCACAATACGGAATGTTGAATCACTTGACGGTGATCTTAGTAAGATCGGGTTTAGTGACAGTTTAACTCGCTATTAGCGCATTGAGTTGCGCGGTTTATTTGCTTATGCTAGGTCTAAGGAGTTGCGCGGTCTTTTTATCTTTGGCTTCCTAAGACTTCGCATCAGCAAAAAAACGCGCAACTCAGGGGCGTCTATCCTCCCCTAAATGTTGGAGGCAAAAATCCCCCCCCGCGTGTCCGTCCTGCTCTATTTTATAATGTGTACTAAAAATGTGAACACACACACAACACAACTCTTTAATGTTCAACAATGTTTTTTCTGATAAGATAACAAAAACTTCTCTTATAAAGTTGAGTAAGTATAATGAAAAAAAGAACAATTTTAAACAATGAAAATAAAAAAAATGTGATATATACAAATATAACTTCTGTCGAAATTTAATTAATATTTAATTATACAACAGTTGAGACTTTAAAGACAGGCTTGACAATGCAATTTGCGTTATTATTTGATCATCAGTGAATGTTTGAAGAATATCTTTCTCTGCTGCTATTATCATTAATGCTGATAAATAATCATCTGCCATGGTAGACCTTAGGCGGTTCTTTATAATTTTCAGCTTAAAGCTCTTTCTGCAGAGGTACTTGATAAAGCAAGAGAAGCAAATATTTTGTATAGCATCAGCAAATTGCGATAGTTGAGGAAGAACATTAAGTGGTTTTATAAAACTGCAATTTTTCCAATTATTAGTATCATTTGTTTGGGCTTCTTTATATGCCATATTGTTATTGTCATCTTCTTCATCTGATTTATCAGAAAATATTTCCATGCCAGAGTCATAACCTGAACCTGCAGACAGGTTTTCCATCTTTTCGTCATTTTTTAGCAACGTGTATGCTTTTTTAAATTCGTTCAGTTCATTTGCAACATCCTCTGCGTTGACACTATACTGGCTACAAACAGTTTCTATTTCACTAGTCTTAACACAACGGTTACTTAAAAGTGTTTTGGGAGTAAATAGCGAAAGTTCTTTTAAAAAAACCAAATTTTGCTGCTCAAATCTATTTTTCATTTGTTGATTCACCTCATCTAAAACAATTAAAAAGCATTCATTTTTCATTTTATTTATTCCAACTGAACATTCGTCGCTGCAACGTTCATCAAACATTTTTTTTTTCGTACGACGTCTTTCAAAATCAAAATCTGGGCTGATGCCATGTGCTGTTGCGAATGATTTCGATTCACTGCATATTGTTTTCCACGTCAAATCAGCATTTCTTCTTATGATGTCAAACTGATGAATGCAGTCTTTTATCAGTTCTGTTGCAGACGCCATGTCAATTAATATACCCTGCACTGCTTTGGATACAGGACCAATAATATTATAAACCAATTTTAAAATTTTCATGCTAATTATCACACGGATGTTTTTCATTCTTTTACGAAGTCCAAGTGCAACAGTAACTGTTTCACTGTCACTCAATGATGATTCAGCCAACTCGGATAGACTTGCTAATATTTTTGAATATCTTTTCATCACCATTTCTACGGCTGATTCTGTGCTGTTCCAGCGAATGGTTTGAACACGCTTTAATTGCATTTTATGCTGACAATTACTTTGAGAATTTTGGAATACAGCATTTCTGCGATGACCATTCATGAATGATTATAAATCTTCTAGCAGTCCTAGCGTATTTTTTATTTCATTACAGCATTTCATTACGCCATTCATCACTAAATTTAACCTGTGTGCATTGCACCAAATATAAATTGCTTTTTTACACTCCTTTTGAATAAGAGTAGCCAATCCAGCATACCGACCTCATGTTACCTGCATCATCATAGCATTGACCTATCACCCATGACATATTAAAATTCAATTTAGTCAGAATATCAATAACTTCTCCTTTGAGTATCTTGCCCGATGTTTCTCCACAAGTAAAGACTTCCAACAATCTTTCAACTGGATGCAAATCTCTCTTACTATTTATTTCTAGATATCTCAGCAAAAGAACATTTGCTTTCTTTTTACTAAAATCTTGTGTGCTATCAAAAATAAGACATGCCTTTTGTTGTTCTGCAATATTTGACACAATTTTCTCAACAATCATTCGTTTCATTGTTGTCAAAACAACTCGAATATTGCTGGAACTTAGAAAATTTACTGCCAATTTCTTTCTTAATCTATGTGATTCATCAACTTTCATCAGATATGCAGCAGCACTTGGATCCCGTTTAGATATTATTCGAAAAAGATTTATAAACTTTCCATTATTAGATGTTTTTCCACGAAAAGCTATCATTTCTTCACTTAGGTACTTAACACAATCTAAAATGCATATCATAACCTTTCTATTTTCTTGAATTATATCTTTTCTATTTCTCTCGATGAAGACATCTACGGCCAATCCTCTTTTCCAATTTATTTTTGCAATATCAGCTTCGCGATGCTCTGCACTTACTTCATGACGAATGATATCCCGCAAACCATTATGCCAATTATTAAAACCTGATGTTGTCCATACAACTGAACCTTTTGGGCCGGAAAACATAATACAAGTAATACAGTAAATTTTGTCAGTTTGTTTGCTGTAAGACAACCATTGTCTCTTACATTTTGAGCCGTCTGGCATTACACATCCAAACCATTCTTTTTAGAAACTGCGACCGTCAGTAACAGGATAGGAATAGTCATTTGGTTGATATACACCAAGTGCCAGGCATGTTGTTATTTCATGCCTTTTCAATATTCGTCCACAAAACTGAGCTGCATCATTTTTGTCTAAAGCTAAGTTTAGATTTTCACAATAATTAAATTTATTTTTAATATTTTTTCAACTAAACTATGAGCATTCAAGTTGGAATTGTTAGATTGAATCAAATCACAAAGTTGCTGTTGGATTCAGCTGCCTCTGTTGGCAAATATTCTTTAGCAACAACATCATCAATATCATCATCTGATTTTCTCATATCATTATTACTGCCTGCTGGCATTAAACTTGTAGATGGTGAATTAGTTTGGCTTGAGCTTTGTGGTTTCCATTTACCATAGATGTCTTTTACTGGAACAATGTCTTTTTTTATGTCTTCACCTCTGTAATAAAGATATTTGAATGGGGTGTAAGAATTAAATGAAAGGAGACAACACAAATAAACGACGCTTTCAAATTATTTTTCAAAATCTGTTTAGTTTAGCTAGATTTAGAGAATAACCTTGCATGCATATATCCATGATCTTTTCTGCAATGCAAACTCCACTTATCTTGGCGAATGATCTTGCGACAACCGGGCTGCAAACATTTGTACTTACAAAAAAATTTCTGATCTCGAGGCATTGTTTTAAAAAAATTATTAACCCGGAATAAAAATTTAAATAAAACTAAAGCGACGCAAAATTGAATTCAAGTACTCAATATTAATTTAATCAAAACAGACGAGAATATTTGGCTCGCCCATGAAACTAAAAGTGATTTCGATGTAAACTCGTTGAAAATTTAAAACAGACGAGAATAATTGGCTCCGCCCATAAAATTTACTAAAAGTGATTTTGACGTAAACTAGTTGAAAGTTATTAATTTATGACAATGAGCGCGAAGTAACATAGTTATGTGGAAAATACGTATGTATATTTCTAAATTGTTTAAAATGTTTGAATCTTTTTTTAATGTAACACAAAAAAATTCCCCCCCCCCTAGCTTAAAATGGAGGCAATTGCCTCTTCCTCCCCCTTCTGTAGACGCCCCTGGCCCATTGCACTCTGTCAGTCATCGAGCGGTCCCTCTTATTCCGTGGTTTGATGGTGACTGCACAGCCAAAAAGGCTCTGTCGCAAGTTTGAAAGGCTACATAAAGTCGACCCTTTTGATGAAAATAAACAGGCCTGACGGCATGCTCTTGTTGAAAAAAGTACTTGGTTTGTTGTTAAAAAGAACGATTATTGGAAAAAATGTTGCTTCTTTGGTCTAATATTGGCAAATTACTTGGAAAAGATCATGCTGATCTTATTGATGGTAAAAACAATTGGCTTCAGATTTTCTCAATTTTTTGAGAAAAAAATCACTTTGGTTCGCAGCAGAGTGTCGGAGAAGTCGCATAAAAAATATACGGCTCCGCCTCTCAAAAAATTCCAACTCCGAGAAAAATTTTTCAAATTTTGCATCATAATTTCATCTTATTATCACTAGTAGATAGAAAATACTTTTAAAAACGCTTAAAATTAGTCAATGCAATTGTTTTTCTTAATAAAATTACTTTATTTTTATGTTTTAAAAGATACTGAAAAAATTTTTCAACTTTTGCATCATAATTTAACCTTATCATTACTGAATAAAAAATATTTTAAAAAGCACTTAAAACCAGTCAATGTAATTGTTTTTCTTAGTAAAAGTGCTTTATTTTTATGTTTTAAAAAATACTGAAAAAAATTATATGATTTTTATTGATATTATTAATATTTATTTTCTGTATTAAAGTTGGTTACATATTGTTATTTTCCAATTGTTATTTTCTAAAAAACACAATCTTTAAAAAAATTTCAGCAAAGAAAAAATATTTTTTTTAAAATTAATAACATTTTCCGGTTAAAAATCCGACTTCGGGCCCTCTAAAAATTCAATCTACCTTGTTCGTCTACCTCACCAGATAGATCTCCAATTATCTACACAACCGGCAATGCAAAGGATCATTCACACAGGAATCCCTCAAGGCCTTAAGGCCGGCCGTAATTTTTTCTGTCCTATTTAATGTCTACATCAGAGACATACCTACACCTCTACCTAATGTCCAAGTAATCAGCTACGCAGACGACTTTACAATTTCATCCTCTGGCTCTCTCATATAAGCAGTGACGTCCACTCTCAATGACTACCTCACAAACCTAACAACGTTCTTCATTAATCGTTCATTCTCCCTCTACAACACGAAATTGAAAAGTCACACGTTTCACTCCATTCACAACAGAAGCAAACATTCATTTCTCTATAATCATCCACAATATATATTACCTCTTGTAAAACACTCCTCCCGACGTCAATTTCGACACTTTCTTCACTTTCAAATCACACACAAACAATAGCTAAGAAGTCCCAACAATGCAATAAAACATTTAAGTCTTTGGCCGCGCCAAATGGGGCCAGCAAAAAAACTCTTTACCACTTTCAAATCAATCTGTCGACCCGTCATCAACAAGACCGCACCCATCTAGCTTCTCAATATTTCTAAAAACTCCAAACCACTTAAAATACTGCCTCTCAAATTGTAACCGGCTGTCTCCTCATGACAACCATAGAACACCTACACCAAGAAAATAACATTCTACTTGTCCTCCAACACTCCATCCTACTCACAAAACAATGCCTCGCCCAAAGCCTCAATAACTCAACCATGCCATCATCTAGTCAATGCCCCACTAACGCTCTGCAACAAAAAAAAAACACTCGAAATTTTCAGCTCAACCCGACTCAACACCTTCATGCCATCACTTCTTCACAGTCGCAGCGAACAAACTTTTACTCTCTCATATCCTCACTTCCACGGCCCTCAATACCATCAACTTATTAAAATCAAACCCAATATTTAATAGCCACCTGCCTTTATCAGTTCTATAAAACAAGAACCATCCTGTCATCGCCCAGCTGTAGCTACTCTGCCCTCCTCAATAGTGATCTCAGTAGCATAAATAACACAATTTTCGACCAATGCAACCTTTGTCACCCACCCCACTACACTACTTAACATCTTTTCTACTGCCCGCAAATCTCACCTCTCTCACTTCCGCCAACCTTCGGGCAGACCCAGTAGCTGTGGCTCGATTTCTGAATATCTACCATATACTAGGCACTCCCACAGGCAATCTACAACAACAGCAACCTTGTCGGTGAAATCACCAGCTGTTCACAATGTGCAATGAGAGGTTTGATGGAATACCAAAATTGTTTTGGGTTTGATCTGCTCTTTGTGATATTTCTTTGCCAAAACAATCTCATTGTCATCATGATGACGTGATTTACATTAGATTCTGTTTTTTTAATTATGTGGAATCGAGTATGTTGAATATTTGACAGTAGGATGTAATGAAGGTAGTAGAGGCGATTTAATTTTTTGATTAGAAATTTTAGTTGCTAAAGTTGTAGTTGTGTAGCTAAGGCGGACCAGGAAGCTTTGAATGCAATGTGTCAAATAATACATGTACGAACGTTTGCATGTGTTAAAGGCCATTTACTGCTTTCGTGTCAAAGGCGCCAACAACGCTCACACAGCATACATGAAAACCTAAAAAAAATCCAAGCATTACATACATTGCTCATAATTAGGTGTGGTTGTCTGCGTTTGAAGTAACTTTTTGAGCCACGTCGTCCTACCACCACCATTACGTGATGTATGTTTCTAGATACTCATTTTGCAAGTATGAGCAAGCATTGTGTTCAGCGAGCATTTGATGATCTTTAAAATTTTAAGAGACAACAATTAAATAAGGTATTTGCAATAGAACACTTATTTATAATTATGATAATGGAAATTTCATTAATTTATTGAAACTTACTTTGATATATCACAACCGCTTCAAATTATTTTCAGAATGGTGTCAACCTACCTTGCATACCAAGGTTACTCACTGACAGCTGAAACATTTTCACACATAACAGGACAAACCATTCAGGAAGATATAGCCTCCATTAAACATAGGCAAAGTAGGACATCCTTTGTTTATATATACATTAAATTATACATATAATTGTTTTTTGGACGCGAGTTTGATTTGTGGTGGTGGTCCTGTAACCACAATAAAGAAATTAGCTTATAAAAAGTGCAATATTAATGCTAAAATAATTGTGAAAGAATTTAGAATAAATTTTACACTATTTTGCAAAGGTTTGGTTTCTTTATTCACTAAACGTTCAACACAACCTACACAGAGATATTTTCATTTGATACCAAACATCCAATGCAACTTACACAGAAATACAGCACTTCATAATGGCAGGTCGAATCAGTGAAGCTATCAACCTCACGAACAAACTCTATCCTTCCATTCTTGATAACAATCATGACCTTCTCTTCAAATTAAAATGCAGGCAATTTATTGAGATGGTCAACGGAACTGATGATGACTACACAACGTCATCATCATCACACTGTTTTCATCATTTTTCACCCACACCTTCATCTTCTGCATCGCCATCACATGATTCTCATCACCACCCCCTACACCACAATGTTTGTATTGGTATTTTTTATAAATAAAATCAGACATTTTTTGATTTTATTATGCATTTTAAAAGAGCTTAATTTGGTTTTGCGGGAGAGTAGAAACTTGTTGAATGTTCATCTCTTGGGTTTCTTGAGCAAGTTTGAGCTGATGGTTAGTTAGCTTCATAGATTTGTCGTCTGGTCAATCATTTTTTAGTACATCCTCATTTATAATGCAGGGTGTTAAAAGTAAAACAAACACTTACTAATATTTTATAGGGTCTTATGTTTTTTCGATTTAAAAAATAATTGTCTGGAATGATTATTTTAAGATTAGACTCAAACTGACTGCTTCTTATAAGTTTTAACTATAATGATTTTAATTTAATTGCTAATTTGGAAAATATATGATAAAGTACAATTTTTCGGGTTAAGTAAAATCTGGTTAATAATGTTAATAATGCTGCATGCATGGGCGTCGTCGATATCTAACTGAGATCAGCGTTTCTCCTTGGATTATCATTATGGTGATTTTGTTATTAATTGATTTTAGTTGAAGGCTCTTAACTAATTTAACGCAACGAAACTCTGCTACACTTATTTCAAAGCATTTAAAGTCTCCAACAAATGGTGCCAGTGCAAAAGTTACATCAGCAACACATTCTTCTACATCAACATTGCCACCGACATCACACCACCACCAACAACAACATCATATCACAAATGGCTCTCGCAACAATGAAAACAACAAATCAAATCAAACAAACGGCCATATAACATCAATCAATAATAGCCAAAACAACAACACTGATAGTGATGACGATGATGACGTAAACATGGACACATCTGAATCAGCAAATGATGAAGATGATGTTGACATTAACATTGCTAATGGTACGCAACGCCAACATAATGGCGATGGTTTTGTTACCGTTGGAAGCAATGAGGCTGAAGATCCACTCAAAAACAGCCATAATAACACTCATTCTTTTTCTAATCATCACTACGCTAATTCTGGTTGGTTTTGCGTCGTCATGTCATCTCATTATTTTAATTTGACATATTTTTGACCTTTTGAATTATAGTTGAAAACTTTGTAATAATGACGACAAGTGGGCGTATTGATATTGTACTTGAATGATTAATGAGATAATTTAATATTTTTTTTGTTAATCATACTGATAGAAAACTTTGAAACGACAGCTTCGAAACAGCAGCAGTCATCATCATATGCATCAACATCAACGATGACAACAAAGTGCTGCAACATGCCTAACAACATTGAAAGGATTTTGATGTTTGGTAGAGACCTTCACGTCATGTCCGAGCGACTGAAGAAAAATGGTGACAACAAAAATGAGGAGAATGAAAAGGCACTGAAGGTGCGTGCGCGTGTGTGAGTGTAAGTGTGTGTGCATGTTGAAGGCTGGCCATGTTTAATTACGCACCTGTTATTAATAATGAAGGCTAGGCTATGATTGGTTCGATCAACGCTGGTAGCAGTAGAAATCATATTCACAAGTAGGATAGTTGTGCTGTGTTAGTTGTAAATTTAGTTGGCGTTCTACTTGCTAAGTATAACATGTGGAAGAAGAAATTACATTAACAAAAACAGTGCTGAGAAATAATTGAGTTTTATTATAACAGTATTGTGATTTGAAAATTTAAAATTTTTTGTTACGTTGGAAGAAAATTAATTTCTTACTGTTTTTAAAGTACAGCTCATTCAGAAAAAAATTGATTACATTGTTGAAGTTCTGAGTGCTGAGACAAAAACAGTGCTGAGAAATAATTGAGTTTTATTATAACAGTATTGTGATTTGAAAATTTAAAATTTTTTGTTACGTTGGAAGAAAATTAATTTCTTACTGTTTTTAAAGTACAGCTCATTCAGAAAAAAATTGATTACATTGTTGAAGTTTCAATAGTTCAAAATTTTCCATAAGTGGATGATTTATAAATGGTTTGGTAATAGTGATGAGATGCAACATTCTTCTCCGGAAATGAATGCGTCTTTTTGGATTGAAAATTACATTGCAATATTGCAAATGAGCGGCACTATAATAGTGAAGCCCACTTTTCATGAAATTCTTGAAAATAAAGAAGGTTTTATTAGAATATGCTGCAGGGAATCAGACAGGATATAAAATGTACAAATGTGAGATTAATGTTGCATCTGCATGCTTAACTAATTTTGATGGTTTTGTTAAACTCCCTCCCTTGTTTGTTTATTATTTGTAGGAAGCCTTCAGTTTGTTGGCATACTCTGATCCTTGGAACAGTCCAGTTGGTCATCAACTTCATCCATCACAAAGGGAAGTTGTCTGCAAGTTACTCAACTGTGCAATATTAGGTCGGTCGTACTCGATTTCATGTTCACGGTCATTGTAAAATATTTTCAATTATATTCATTATCAATAAGAAAAAAACTAGCGCCAACACGGGAATGTGATGTGCGTGGGTGTGTGTATTTATGAGTACGTATGTGTGGTTGGTTATATTTATTTTGTTAAATTGTTGAAACGTTGACGATAGTTAATTTTTATTTCAGAGCAATTGGGCCAACCAACCCACCCGCCGCTGGAGATCGCTCTGTCACATGCATCGAAATGTTTGAAGGTCATGTCGAAGCTTCACATGGCCAGTTGTGCCTTCACCACGTTGGCTTCCATTCTCGCTTAAAATCGTAATTACTATGGTTCGCTATGTTCTTCATGTCACTTTTTAGACTCACCTATTTCGTTATAAATTTGATCACGTAATGTTAAATTATCTATCAATTGTACCGTGTACCGATTTTTATAATGGTAAATGGTTATCTCTACTTCTTGAGGACGTTTATGTTTTAGATGTCGAATGGTTTAGTGGAGCTTGAACGCTTTTGAGCAAGTAATAAAATTATGGCAATTATATTCTAGCTAGAATCTGAAATGTTACTAATCATTGTTTTTCGGTTTCCTTTCTTATTCAAGGTGAAGTACTCAATGCAAAACATTTGCTGAAGCCATATAACAATAACAATATTGTTATCGCGTGTGATCCTTTCATTTATATATATATATATATATATATATATATATATATATATAATATATATATATATATATTTTGGGACGAGGTTTTCAGCTATGCAGATTTCATTGTATTAGAAAGTGTTTTTTGACATTGAATAATTTTTTTTAATTTATTACACTCTGAACACCGCTATATATTGCTGAACAGGTTGTCGCAATACAATTGCTAATTTAATTAAGAACTCAACCACCTAGACATTAATAATATTTACGCATATAACCGACTATATTTTTCTAATCTACATCAGCAATTTCATTTCACTTCTTTTTTGCCTATAAATAACAATAACTCATTGCAGCAACTTGTTCATAACACTTTATTAAATTGATGTTTGTTATAGAATGGCAGTTAATTTCCTAAAGTTGATTGGTGCTTTCATTCATATTTATAGATTATATTATTATTAAATTATAGGTGAAACCAGTTTCTTTTCTAAAATTACTTAATAAGATAATTTTTAGATTGTGCTAAATTACTGTGATTTATTTATATCATGCTTTATATATATCATGTTTTCTCCTGTTGTTAAGTTATAAGTTCGAGCCCAGGCGATGGAACCGATTTGGAGCTTAAAGCCGATTTGGCTCGACTCGGCTTAAAGATTATCAAGCCACGGCTTGAGCTGATCAAGCCGATAGCTGATCAAGCTGGTGGTAGTCAAAAAATTAATTTAAAAACTAAAAATTCAATTTAAAATCTGAAAAGTTGTTTCCCGTGTATTATTGAAACAAAAACTAATTTTTATGTTTCCCCTTGGAAACTTCCTCTGTTGACTTTGTTTTGAAACTACCGCCGACGATTTTATTGCTAAAGATCATCGTCATTACGAATAATTTATGAACAAATAAAATCAGTTTCCTCTTTATATTGTATTTTTATTTTGAAACAAAGTTTATTATTACTCAAAATGTTTCAATTTATTTTGTGTGTTAGTTTTTCGTTGATACTTGCAATGCTATTTAGATCAATGCTGTCCATTAAAATCAATACTAAATCGTGAAAGATAATAATCGTTTTACAAAAAACTGGTCATGTGCAAATTTCTATCCATTTATTTGGTTTTCATTAGCCCAAATCAAATGAAATCAGAAGAAATTAGTTTCTTATAAAATAGATAACATTATCGACATAATTACACTCGACATTATTAGACGTCCATCGGCTTCGCGGCTCGGTTCGGCTTTTATCGACTCGACTTGGAGTTTAATCGGCTCATGCTTAGCCGCGCCGTTAACAACCTACTTGAATTATCTTTTATCATCAAAATAGCATTACATATTGTTCACAAATGTTTGATGAGATTTTTTCAATAGAATGATTTTTTGTATTATGTCTCTATGTTTTAATAAGTTCTTCTGTCATTAATGAATGAATTAATTATTATGCTTATATATATATTTTTATATAGCTCTGTAGTTGTGAATGATTTGCAATATACTTATATTTGTCACTCTTTCGTCATCAATTCGATTACATCATCCAAAACTCTTCTTAACTATTTTTTTATTTGTAATAAAACCGTTTAGTTTCATTCAGGATTTGATAATTCTCAAGGTTCCACCTAGGATAAAAATTTAAAAAAAATTTCTGTTATGATTGACTGGAATTGGTTTTATTGTCATATTAGAACAGTGTAAATTACTTATTTTTTCCCAAGTAATCTACAAATTAAACGTAATTTTTTTTTTTCAAAATTTTTTTCGTAAACTGACTACTTTATAAAAACAAATTACTAATGTTTCAACCGTTATACAAAACATTTGTTGATTTAAAAGTTGAACCTGTCATTTATATTACGTGAATCATATTTAAATGTTTTTCAATTTCTTATTTTAACGATTGCACAAGTCTGAATGGATTGTAATCAGTTACTTTAACATTTCACCAATGAGTCTGGTTGGTTTTGCACGCATTCATTCAATTTTCTCATATGCACGTACAGAGGAGTTTTGAAAGTTACATGAAGTCCTGTAAATAAACTTTGCTAATTTAGTATTGTTGCATTTTAAATATTTATTTGTTGGAATTTGTACCCGGTAATATATTTAGATTATTACATGTGGATACAATTTTAAAAATCAAAGATGTTTATATGCACACATTATACACCAAGAATAATTATTGCATACCTATTCTAGCATCTTGATATATCTCGGTTTTCGATTTGCAGGTCTGGTGAAAGAATTTATGTATTTTAAAATCAATGCAACGGATTCGTAAATTCCACCCAAAGGTCATCTCGGTCACGATGCAGCCTTGAGACATGAATAATAATACTGGGGGCGTTTGTTTCCCCAGCCAACTTGGGCCCCGCAAAGTTGGCTTTCACTAGTTTTTCGACGTGTTAGCTGCAGACGTTGCGCTGGCATTTTTTTCGAAAGTCGGTTTTTCCTTATCGTTCCCTCGACAGGCGTTACTTCTCTGGGGCCTCTTAAAATACTTCATGATATGCCCTTTTATCCACAGTTCTAACATTCTGGTGATTTGTAGTCTTCTGTTGTTGAGAATTCTTCGACACTCATTCTCTTCGTGGATTTGCCGTATTTTTGTGTCTTTCTTCAACATTAGCTTTGCAGATTCTAGTGTCATATACTGCTTCAAAATGCCTTTAAATGTTTTTATTTTTGATGTTGTGAAGCAATATCTCATCTGGGTCTCGTAGGGATTGAATAAATTTTTTTATTGCCGTTCTGTTCCTAAATTCCGGGGTATGCTGGGTTTGCTAGCAGGGTCAGTCTCTTTATGTCTTTTGCTAGTTGATGAGCATGTTTATGTACACGGTGGTTGAGCTATGTCAATTTAGGTCTTCAGTATATTTGTTTCCATTTGTTTAGAATCTCAAATTTGTCACGGTCCTTAGCAGGAATAGATTGTAATAACTCCACTGTGGAGCCTCTTAACACCAATACCGTCGATGTTTTCTTGCGCTCCACCTGTAGCTGAGTGTTTCAAACTGAGTCTGATAGCTCTCCCATGGTGTAGCACCATCAGATATGGGGCTTTTATTGACTTGGCAGGAGTATACCCGTGTATGGTTCTTCTTTCTTTGGTTTCTATTTCTCTGGTAATTTTCTTTATTTTTCGCTAGTCCTTCCGTTCTAGTTCGTCGACTCGTTCGTTTTTTTCGTCAGCTGGTCCAATTTATCAATCCGTACATTTAATTCTGCTTTGAAGCCTCTTGTTTCCTGATGAATTTCATTGTTTATTCCGTCAAACCTGTCGTTTAGTTTTGTTCTGAAATCCTTTGGTTTATGATCAATGACGTTCTTTGGTTGGGGTAGTATATTGTGATTAAAAACAACTGCACTAGTAAACCAGATTCGATAATGGGTCATAGCCATCTAATATATTTGTTAAAATGTTATATTGGTGAGTGTGGGCGCCATAATTTCGAATATATTGGTATGACGACGACCAAGTTATCGAAAAGACTCACGATACACCTACAAACTGGCACTGTAAAGAATCACATGAAAGAGAAACACAAAAATAAAATAACTAAACAAATCTTGAACCACAATGTTGAAATCTTACATTAAAGTAACAACAATTATAATTTACGACTAGCCGAATCAATACTCATAGAACAAAGACATCCGATAATAAATATTCAACAAATGGCAATTGGAATTCTTTCTACTAATAAATTTAGAAACAGAGGAATCATCGATAATGAAAACACGTAAAAGTATAAAAGATTGTAAAACTAATGAGCGTTAAGTATTCATTTTGAACAAACAAGGAATCAACTGAGTAGAGACACATAAGAGTGTTATATTGGTCGAAGTTAAAGATTGAAAAACTAATGAGCGTTAAGTATTCGCTTTGAACAAACATGGAATCAACTAAAATTAGAGACTACATATATATATATATATATATATATATATATTTGAGCATCTGGCTACATACACAACGTATCAATTCGAACACTGAAGAAGGTATAGGAATACCGAAAAAAGCATTTTTTGTTCTATCATGCTATAATATACCAGGACGGTCAACATTTTTAGCAACGGACCAGCGGAGGCGATCGTTTCACAATGTATGTAGTGTACAATGTGCATGTGCAGTGCATACATCGCATATAACAATCAACAATTTCATTTTTGTAATTTTTTTATTTTAAAAAATTTTTATAAAATTTTCACTAAAACAATCAAAAAGAGATTTAGATTAATAAAATTGCATACCATGGTTATTATCTCAAAAAAAATTGAAAAATACATGAAAGAATCAAGTTTGTTTTCAATTATTGATCGTTCAGTCATTTTATGAAATAACACCGATTGGTTTCTTGCCTTAGTAAAGTTGTTAAATAGGTCATTAGACTCTCTAATGTTTGTTAAATAAGCCAAACATCCTCACACATGTCTTCCAGGCATATTCGGTTGGAATGAGCAAACTACCTCGATTGACTTGTTCAAGATATTTTGGTGAAAAATCTGGTTCATCATTTGTTTGGTCGTCTGAGATCAAGTATTTGTGGCATGATAAGCATTTAGTGGAATTGCAGACGGATTTGATGACAGCACCGCAAACATATGACATATGAAATATTCATCCTCATTTAATTCATTAATTTCAATACATTCAGACATTTCATCGGCAATCTCATTCAAGTCACCAAACTATTTTCATCATTATCCATTACAAATTTTTCAACCTCTTTCAATGAACATTTGGAATGCTTAGTAATGATAATGCACGAATTTTTCTATTACTCTCAAAAGCTTGTCTACAAGATATGTAGTAGTTGCTGCAACCCATCTGCCTCGTCCAACTAAACCTTGATTCGATAACATCTGACCGCAAATTCCCAGTAAAATTTTAAAGATAAAACAATTACACAAACACACGAGTACGAGGCACGAAAGTAAACTTCACAACAAGGAAACAATGAAAGTTAACATCATTGCCTACAGCATTGATTTATATCACCTCCGGGGGTCCGTTTTCAAAAAATTTTCATTTCAGTGGACCGTCCAGGTTTCCTATATAGAAGTCTATGGTTCTATCATGCATAAAATAAACAAAAATTTTGGTTTTGAACTCATGAAACTTGGGAATGATTTACGATCAACCGTTAGAAAAAAACGAAAAGTTAAACAGGAAGTAAACTAATGCCGTCCGAACTTGCTGTGATTTCTATCAATAATTGCATTTCTGACTGTCTTAATCCAATATCTATATATATCCTAAATGTGATTTATGTAGTTGCTTGGATTAGTCTATTGTTTCTATTGCTGTTGGTAATGGTATTAAAATAAAGGTTCAACAAAGTTTACGTTTAAAGCAGTTGTAATACCATGATCCAATAGTAAATACTGCAATGATTAACTTAGACATTAAATCAATAATAAATATTTCTATAAACTATAGCGAAGTTTATGGAATGAATCTAATACGCACTTAGGGCTAATGAAATTGATTAAAAGATATCGGAACATTCAATACTCATTTGATAACGACTAATAATAATGTTGGGTCACACTGACCAAACTCATAAATGCCTTTTAAATAAAACCATTCAACCAACATGCCAATATTGTGGCCAAAATTGAACAATACATCGTAAAATAATTTGCAGAAACCCCACTACAAATAAACAAAAACAGCTGATTTTTTCAAATCTCTGCGAAAATTTCACGTCAAATATAAATATTATTAGATTCATAAAGTTCCTCAAAGATTCTGAATACTAAAATCAAATATAAGATTTTGAAATGCTTTTTTCAAATGAGGAGAGCGATAAGTCAATTAACTAATATTTTAGATAATTACAATAGCAAACATTAGCGCCTTCTTGGGAGCCTAACTTAACTTTTAAAGAAAAAAAATGAATAAATAAATACGTCTTCAGATTATTTCTGTGTACTACAACTGAAGAAGCTGAACGAACTTTAGACGGTAATGAATTCCAAACTGCGGAAGCCGACATAAAACTTCGTATACCAAACTCTGATCTAATCCTAAGCAGCAACATCACCCAAACGCGCCACATGCATATTTTACCAAAGCAACCAGACCCATCTGCATTTTCAAGCCAACATCGCAATCTTAAGTTTAATTATTACCATTGACAAAAGGTGGTCGGGCTCGATTAAACTTTTTCAAGATTAACCTAAAATTTTATTAATTTTTGTTTATTTCGCGTCGTATCATAACTTATTTTAAATAAAAAGTTCAGACGAGTTCAAGAACTTATATATAATAATTCAAATCAAGTTTGAAATACTAGATTTTAACAAAGGTTTTTGTGGCGACATTCGGCATAGCAGATTTTCGAATAACGTATCACAAAAATAACTTTGTGAATAAGATTAACTTGCTTTCACTTTTATCTTACAAAATTGTTTCAAACTTAAACAAGATGGCTTTATATTTTCTCCTCCATTGTTTCGATATTGAAAAAGTATATCGGAAATGTAGCGATACTATTTAATTTGTTGATCGTATAACAAATTGTCAACAGTTTAAAATAAATATATGAACAGAATAATTTTTTCAGATTTTTCAAATAATACGGGTAAAATATATAAATATTAATTAATATCAAAATAATGTTTGAAATACATTTTTTTAAGACAGTAACCATAAAATTGATTATATTAGAATTATCACACCAAACTTAAATATATTTTCATAAATTTCTTTGTATTAATATTTTTATTGCTTTTATGACGGTTTCATTCAGCGCTAGAATCGAATCATATGAATAGCAGAACCTGATGCCATTATATGTTAGTATGTCTGTTTATGAGAATAAATGCTAACAACAATGATAAAAAAAATTCAGTATATACTATATAGTGATATAATATTATGCTATTAATACTTTTTTTAATTTTTTTAATTAAAATTCAGTACAACAAACCAAAAATAAAGTATTAAAAAACTGATAACTAAAATATTC